ATTGTACAGTATCCTTTTTGAAAAAAAATATAATAAATGCCTTGGGAGTTAGAATTTGAAAATTTTGCCTGCAAATTGAGGAATAGCTAGGAATTAATACAAGTATGGATAGTAAGACATACGTTGAATTGTAGGGTCAGTTTCAGAAAGTATTTTGGAGATTAAGATTATTGAATGGATGATTAAACTAATATATGGGGACTATGACTGTTAAATTGAAATTAGAAGTTGAAAGTTTTCCTGATTATATGATTGGTTATACTTGCTATATTTGACTGATTAATGAGTTGTAAAGACAATATGTTTTGAAAACAGGCTCGAATGAGCTTACTATGCACCTAAGGCACTGATCTGAGAAGTTTATAGGTATCTTCATTGGAAACCCTCATAAGACTACAAGTCATTCACTAAGGTAACCTAGGGGTTTAAAGGCTTATACATAGGCTAAATTTAACCGTGATTCCCACGAAAGTGGCTTTTTAATTCTGTATTGCTAAGGACTAGCAATATGTAACTTTGGGGATGTGATGAGCACTGAATATTGTATATTCGAGCTCCTAAATATACGTATGTTAAGGCTTAAAGTAATACATTTATCCATATTTAGACTGATTTATGTTCAATGTGTGTTTGTAGGTACTTTCTCAGAGAAATGGTTAAAATCAGGACTTTATGATGATATCGAAGCTTACAGAGTCATTGCTGGCTATCCAGAGCAGTCAAGAGCTTAAATGGTGAAGTTTCAAAGAATTCAGAGTCCAAAGCTCGAGCCCAAGTCATAAGGCTCGAGCCTTACAAGTCATAGAAGACAAAAATTAACAACGCATTAAAGCTCGAGCCTTGTACCATCAGGCTTGAGCCTAACTAAAGGGTGCTTGAGCCTGACCATAAAGTGTTCAAGCCTTAACCCTTAAGCTCGAGCATAAGACATCGGAGTTGATTTATAAGCTCTCAGACCTCGTGCCTAACCCCAAGGATCGAGCACCATCCATTGAAGCTCGAGCCTTGAGAACCAAATGCTCGAGCCTGGTACCTAGTGCTCAAGCCCATGAAACTTGGATCGAGCAATGGTAAAGATTTCAATCCTAAGAATATTCTAAGTGTTGAAGAAAAAAACTTTGGCTAAGTATCAAAGTGAAGATCGAGCACCAATTCTTGAAGCTCGAGCATCAATCCGGAGAAGCTCGAGCCTTGTTCCTTATGCTCGAGTCTGAACATTAAAGCTCGAGCCTTTGTTCCTAAAGCTGGAACCTTCTATGATATGTCAGATTTAAGCTACGGGAATGTTCTCTTTTCATGCCGTATCTCATTCCAGATGGGCCGGAAGACTTAAAGGCCCACCAGATCCTTATTTTCTTCTATAAAAGAAGGCTTAAGCCTTAATAAAAGAGGTCCAAAATTCCAAGTCCTTTTTGCCGTGTGATTCAGAAGGCTGATTGTGGTGGCTTTTAGGGTTTCCACAACCTTAGACAGTGAAGATCCTGAGAAGAGAAGTGTCGTCCGTAATGATGAAGACAACTCCAACACAGATGATATCTAACATCGTCATGAGTAGCTAATTCTTCTCTTAAGGCATGGATGTAACCCAATCTAGTATTATAGTTTGATTGTTTTAACTCTGGGATTATTTTAATATATTATGTTTCTTTAATTATATGACTATGAGCAATTGACACAACTCAATTGGTTTTCATGCTTTAATAGATTACAAACTATTATTATCTTGTCTTAGTTATAATTGTTTGTTTTCTATTCTCAACCTATCTTATTGGACGGTATCTGGCGGAACCGTGCGGGACATGAGAATAAAGGTCATATAATAGTGTTCCAATGTTTTTTATAAAATAATGTTTTCATAGTCTATGCTTAGGAAATGTGGATTGTTTACAAAGTAGTTAAAATAGTTAGAGTAGGTAAGTGGATAGTCCACGCTAACCGCAGATAGGTTATAGTTAACTGAAGTTTGTAAAATATCTTTCTTTAAAACCCAAATTGAATGAATGTTATTGAGTTCAATTCATTTCAAAAACATAATTGTTAAATCCCCAGAGTTAGTATAATTAACCATAGTATGATGATTGTGGTGAAGTTAAAGCCCTAAGATTTTTCTCTCTGATTATTTAATTTACTCTAGTTTAATATTTTGCTTTAATTTTAGTTCATTTTTAATCGTAACAACCAACATATTTCTCAACCAGTTACCTGTAAACCAATAAACTAAATTAAAAACTGAATATAAATCTCATCTCTCTGTGGGTTCGACACCTCTCTTTATAGTACTATCCTACATAGAATCGTACTATTGCGAGTCGTAAATTATACACATCAACGTACCTGACCTTCTTTTATGAATCAAGATCTTTTATGCATGATGTTAAGCCTATATAGTAGATCTTGAGCTTTAATACCAATTGTGAGTTTGTGTAACGGAAGATATTATGGAAAGTTCAAGTTTTTTTGTTTTGTTTTTTTTTTAAGAGAGAATTTAATCACATGTCTTTCTATTTAATTACCTTTACTTAATTTACCAAATAATTAAACAATCACATACAAAATAAAAGCAAGTAAAGTAAATAAAGTTTGAGAGATGACACCAGGATTTTTAGCGAGGAAACCCCAATTGGTAGAATAAATCAATTGTTGTGGGAAAAACCTCATGGACTGTGCAGTCCAGAGCAAAACGATCCACTATGTTTAAAACAATGTATAATAGACTTTGACTTGATCAGGCTTACACCCTATCGCTCTACCAAAAACCAGTTGTTGATAATCCTCTAGCCTTGCGACGTCCCGTCCAACAGCTCTTGACTCCAGGCTTACTCTTGATATCTGTAGAAGGATTGCTAGTAGATCAAACAACACTCTTCAAATACTTTGACCCTTCCAAAGTGTGATCGTTTCACCTTTTTCTTCAAGATTTGAATTTTATGTAAAAGAATAGATCTACTTCTCTGATCATTGTCGATGCAATATTCAATAAATTTTGAATACGATCAGGAATTGAACAACACCCTAAAGTCACTCTTGTGTTTATGTGTGTCTTCAAGAAATAAAAACAAAAAAATTAGATTAGTTTTTCTGCAAAATATCTCTTAAATAGGCTTTTAAAGAATCAAAAGTTTCAATGCAAAAGCTGTATCAACCTAGATGAAAAAAAAGGTTTATATAGACTTCCAAAGACCTAAATATGCATAGGAAGGAAGTAAATTTCGTACAAAGGTCTTTTGGAAAGAAATCCAAACCAAATAGGAAGTTTAGAAAGAATAAGAAACTGATACCTAATCTGTAGAAGCCTTCTGAACTAGTAGCCACTTCTAGAATAGGTTCAGAGTGTCCAGAAGTAAATAAGGATTCGATGCTATGGTTCTTATACTAGTAGGAAGAGTTGGTACCGGTTCCCAAATGGCAGATTCAAATGGGAAGGACAAATCACTTAGATAAATCCCTGTTTTGGAAAATCTGAGACATACCACATATGTAAAGTGTCATAACCTTTAACTCAACTTCCTAAAGCGTTGTTCATACCTTTTTCGTAGATCTCAGTTTATCAAACACAAACAGCTCTTCAATTCCATTAGCCAATCTCGATCTTGATTTTGAAACTTGAAAATACAACTCCATCGGACTTATTTTGACACCAAAATTAATTAGCCAATTACAAAATATACATCTCACAATCTTCCCCTTTGGCAATTTTATGACAAAACCCTAAAAACAAATATAATCTACCCAAGCAGAAAAAGCAGATTATAACTTGTCAATAACACGGATTTTTTTTTATTCATTCTTGTTACTTCTTTGGATAAAAGTTCACCTAATTTCCTGCACATTTATCAAGCAAAACTATCATTTTCTCTCCCTTTTTGGAACAAATTGATAAAGTGAGGCAATTATAGAGAATAAGAGAAAAAACAGTCATCAAGAGTAAACAAGTCATTAAACAGCCAAAAAGAATATCCAAAATAATGATAATGTTATCTTAACAAATACATGATGCATGAATGAAATAAAAATGATAGTCAACATAAACAGATCAATCATCTCTATCAAAAGGAACAATAGTGGTTAGCACATCATCAAAATCATCACCACCACCATCATCATTACCATCCTCATCATCAGTATCGTCATGAGCACCATCATCACCCTTATCACCAATAGATGGATCTAGAAGAGTAGTTCTGTAAACATCCTCTGTAGAAACACCTGCCTATTGTGCCCTAATCAACCTCATCTCAGCCTTGAGATCTCGTATCTTATCCATGACTCTTTCAAACATGGTATTCTGATTCTAAAGAAAAAGTGAGCACATTAGATTTATGTCATCTCTTGAGAAATTCCCTTTTGAGGAAAATATCCTGGTAACCTCTAGAATATGAGATGAAGTAACATCTGATCCTCTCTAAGACTTCCTTGCATTCTCCCTAACGGTTTTGGACTTATTGAGAGTACGGAGATCCAGTTAGAGATGTTGAGAGACGAAAAAAGACTCAAAACAGTGGAGTTGTCATAAACGCACTGGCATCTAGTTATGCAAGAACAACTGATCAAAATCCTATTACAGGAGATATTCATTACTATGGTGCTACAAGAAAAATGGTTTTTTACGACGTAGTATCTACGGCGTTTTTTTGTTTTGCCCATAATAACTATCTTTTACGGGGTTTATAAAAGAATCCCCGTAATTATTATATATGGGGACCCACTTTCACGACGATTTTACAAAATCCTCGTAGAAAAATATTTTTACGGTGTATTAAAAATCTCGTGAATACTTACATATATTTACGGCATATTTATATACCTTTAATGGGAAAAATGTTTCTCGTTGAAAATTTCACATGCAAGGCATATTTTTTGCCCCGTAAATAAGCAGCCCCAAAATTTTCCTCTCCGGCGCCAAAATTTTCCACTCCCGCACAATAAAAATCAGTTTAAATATATATATATATATATATATAAAATAATAATAATAATAAAAAACTTTAAGAGATATCACTTCGTCCTTAGACCCATTCACATTTGGAGACCCAGACACATTAGGAACCCTCTTTCCCTTGGTGTAGTTCCCAGATTAGATCCACACAGCCAACATATTTATGCTTCTTCTCTTCATGGTTGCTTTTGTTCGATCTTAGAGTTCTGATTCGTGCTTCTCTTCGTGGTTGCTTTTGTTTAATGTTGGAGTTTTCGGCCAAATCGCGTTGTCGGGTAAGCTTCATCGTCCCAAATTTGGAGCAATCAGAGGTGAAAATTCTCTCTCGTTAATCTCTGTTCAGTTCTCTCTATTATCAAGTACACTCTTAGCAGTAACCCAAAAAACTCTCATCCCTTTCTTTCTCGGAATTCATCAAAGCCCATAACCCTCCCTCAATTGAATCTATCTTCGTTCATTAATTGAAAGCCCTAATCCAACCTCTCTCCTAGATCAATTCTACAGTTCGAAACTTGTTGATTGATTCTAAGGTTCGCTTGTTCTGATTTTAGGGTTCAAAGCTTGTTCAGACTCACACATTGGTGAGGAAATCAGAAAGTAATGGATCTGAGGAAGAGATGGAGTGATGGAGATCGGTGGCTAAAGTCGGCCAATGGGCAGCAAAAAAGATTACGTATGTGCATGATCAAACATCATAGAAGAAGATTCGCGCATTGGTGAGGAAATCGGTGGCTATGTATAAAATTATACAGATAAACCCTATTTTCATCCACCTGTGTTCCATCTGATTCTTTACTTATATCTCTCTTCATCATTTTCTTCCGTGAATATTTTTTAAAACTGGTTGGAAGATATCTGACTCTTAAATCTTGGCTTAGGCTTAGCTTTAGGGTTTTGTTATTTTATTTTTCTCTATCTTTGTTAATTAATTTGTTTCCTTTTTTGTTTCATTTTGCGTTTATCGTTATTTGGTGAATTATGAAAGGGGGTGTTGTTGATCAGTCTACTGTTGGTAGGATCAACAAGGTCTTGCAACACCTCTAAGGTATCTCTATTTGTACTCTCACCTTTTCTCTCACTCTATATATATATATATATATATGTTGTGATTCTTAATTTTTTCTAGGGTTTTATTTCCCCTTTCATTGGCTGGTTTTAAGGTCTAATTTATTGAATCTGCACTCTTAATTCTGCCTTTTTAATTGAGTTTTTTTTAACCTAATTTATGCACCATGTTAATGTATGTTGCCCTGATGCAGAGATGATGGAGGACAACTTGTCTGCATAGAGAGATTAAGAACTAAAGATATAACACATAGAGTAGAACTGAAGAATTATTGGCAGGTACATTTTGTTTGTTGCAAAATTTGTGCAAACTGAACCTTTGTTTGGTTTCTTAGTTGTATTTTTAGTTGCTATATGTCCATGTCATCAATGTATTGACTCAGTCTCTTTAATCCAACTATTATGTCTATGTGAAATGGTGAAGTTGCTCTGTCATACTATATTAGATAGTATTTACCTTCCATCTCTGTACTATAAAATCTTAGGGCAAATCATGAAATTGAATACAGCATTAATCAATTTTATTATTGCACATTTTTAATGCTTTTTTCTCATGCTCGAGGGGGTCACGTGTCTTTATGTGACCAATTTTATGGTGTATAGGGAGTCATGTGCCTTATTGATTGTTAGTTTCAAGTTATATATATATATATGGTGGTATATGATTAAATTCTTTATAGCTTTTTATTGTTTATTGAGTTTCCATCAAGTGAACTGTTAGTTGGTATTAGTTAGTTCAGTTTTTGATGTTCTTTCATTCATTAGTTTAGTATATATCATGAACAATGAGGAGTGGTAAAGTAGATATTCTCAACATTCTTGGTTACAAGTTGTTTTTTTTTTTTTTAATGTAATACAGTAATGTCATGGATAATGAATAGCTAGTCATTAAGAATTTATTGATAGAGAGATTAGAGAGGAGTGTGATAATAATACCATGTAGTAAATATTGTTAATTGGTAACATATAATATAGAGTTTAGTTTCATATATATATAATGAAACTGATCATATATTCCTTTAAAATATATTATATATGAGTTCATGGACAAGAAGCAGTCCTAATGCATATATATTATTGAGGAGTACTAATACACTATAAATAATATGTTACTACTAAATTCTAAGAAAATTACTACTATAGCATCTTCCTAGTTTGGTACAATAATTTCACTTTCATCTATCATGACCCTAATACCAATTTTATGAGGTTGGCCGCGTACAAGAACAAAATTCTTGATAGTTCTAGTAAAATATGCAAGTTCTAGTTGCATTAATTTCAATCTGAACATGCAAATTCCAATTGCATTAATTGAAGAGATCGAGTACATAGAAGCTTAAATAATTAAACTACACCACATATACCGTGAATTAATCAGCCTACCATATAATAATATTATTATTAATAATTATAATAACTATATAATTTCTAAAGAAAATCAATTTATTACACACCAACCTGTACGGCCCTTTCGCGACGCCTGGAAAAAAAATGGTCAAGTGTAGGGAATAATTTGGTTGATTCATACAATTTACATGAATCCTAGTTTTTTTATAATCCAATGATAGAGGCTAGTTTTTGTGTATTATATATACTGCACAGTGTATAAATCTGTAGTATTATACAAACGTAACAGATCTCTACTTCGTGAGGGGTATGTTTTATTCTCTTGCTCAAACCGTAATTGAGTAGTTTAGATTGTTCTCTATACTGGGACTATTATTTATTTATTTGTATTTTAAAAAAATGCCTATGGTTGATTGACGTATGAGTTCTGTCTTGCATATATGAGCTTGCTTAGCCTCACATTGTCATTTTATTATTGTCCAGGAAAAAATAAGAGTAGCTTTGTATTTTCAGTAAGCAGCAATTCATTTCATTGACTGTATGAGTAAACCATCTCAGTATTGTCTTATTCATCTAAACTTCGTCTTCCTTCTCAAATTCATGTTCTTCTCTGTATTACCCATAACTCTCTTTTATGAAACATCAACCCTAAATCCCCTACTCACCATATAGACCGAAGCACTTCCAAGTTCCAACCCATTCATTGTTCCTCTCATATGTATCAGAAGCATAGAAAGCAACACAGATGAAAGTCCTTGCCCATAGACGTTTTTCGCAAATGGGTTTTCTTTGATTGTGATTTCTCCAGTTACAAAGGTATAAAAATCTTATCCCTCCATATTTATATTGTGTATATATACACATCTGTATTCATGTTTTATGTATGTGTATGTGGAAATTGGAAGAGGGCACTACTTTTAATTTCTACTGGGAATGAAATTATTGATAGTTACCAACAGGCCAGTGACCTAGCGGTACCAAGCCCCTACTTTTCAAAGAGAGGTCAGGGGTTCGAGCCTCAGTTGAGGCATGTATGTGTGAGTACCCAACTAGGAAAAAAAAAAAAATATTGATAGTTGTTTCATATGAAACTATGGGCGGTGTCTTCTGGTGTAGCGGCAATAACTGGACGGTTGGAAACAATTGGGCCTTTTTATCGTCGTCTCTGCCTCCAGTCACCATAGTTCTAATTGCTAACAACTAGCCCCTAAGTTTTGAAAGCTGATAGCCAAGAGGTCAGCCGATAGCTGATAATTGATTGGCTACTCTTTAATTAGCCATCGATCGAAGAAAGCCCTAAGCCATAATCTTTCAAGATTTACCTCTTAGATTTTGTGTTCTGGGTAGTCTCAATTTTGTGTCTCAACTGAAATTTGAAGTGTATATTTACTTGTGAATTTTAGGGTTTTATTAAATCTTTGGAGGTCTCTTGGGGAACTTTCTGAGTGGCTTCAGCTGATGAGCAAGTTGAATTAGGTACTTCAGTTTTTCCTCTTTTTTTTTCTCCTTTTCTTTAATTTTTTTTTTTGGGTAATTTTTTCCTTCATTTTCTCTTACTTTCTGGATCTTCTACATTGTTGTTTCATGTCTTTTGGGGATTTTAGTGTAAGGGTTCTCTATATTTAGGCTTAACTTATAATGGGTTTCTGTATTTTTTACTATTTTGTTAGTTTTAGTGGTTTGGAAGCTTACTATGTGGTAGATTCAAGTCATGAATTAATATTTTTTTAGAATTTCTGTAAAATGTTGACATGAAAATACAAAGATATGGTGGAGACTTTCCAATAATTTTAATTTTATAGTGAATGAGATTGTCATTTTGTCATGCTTTACCCGGCTGGGTTGAATTTTTGTTCCATCACTGTCAGATTTTATCTGGTTTGTCTCTGATGTATCTGCATTACGCTCTTCAAATTGTTTATAATGATCGACTATTTTGCCCGTTAATGTTCTTTCATCTAATCATTTAGAAAGAGATGAGGAATCTCACCTTCTAAGAAGTACTACTTTTCCTTGCACTATTAACTCTTTATTTCCCCTTTTTCTTCTCCTTTTATTCTCCCATCTTCTTTGGGGTCATGTTTAATTGTTCGAAATGAGTAGGTCGCTTAAGCTTCAGACTTCAGCGGATGAGGTGTGAATGTGTGATTTTTTTTTTTCCTAAGGACGGGGTGTGAGTGTAATTTACCCTTGAAACTGCTTGCTTGCTTGGTATTTCATCTATGCATTATCCTCTCTAAACCTGTAGAGCTAATGCAAAGAATGTAGATGAATGATCAGATTACAAAATGAAAATAAAGAAAGAAAGAAAGAAAATACTTGCTAGTACAAATTGAGGAGATGACAGAATTGTTACTGGACATAAAACCAAGTAGGTTCTCAATTTTGTTGCCTCATCTTCTCTATAAGATATTTCCTTTTTCTTTCTAATGTTAAAACGTAGTTCTTTTAACTGATGGGACAAATTTCAACTTTATATGCTTCTGCATAAATGCTGATGTTGAATTTTTACTGGTTTTTACATTAGGATATTTTTAAGTAGTTATTGGAGAAAGGGTGAGTAGTCTATTTCTAATATATTGTAGATGATATGAATTCCTTTTTCTTCCAAATGATAGTCAGTCTTACATCCATACCTTCTTTCTTGACGCATATTGTTTATGCCAAACCTAACAACTATATTTGTTCCTATGGCTTATCAGTGGAGATTTCAAATTCTGAGGTCCCTGCAATGCGGTTTTTTCACTTGACGATGATCAGGCAGCTAGAGGGGTTGTAACTCACAGCAGGTTTGTTGTACGCTAATTAATACCTCAACTTTATTTTCATTGGCCACCTTCTAATATTCCTTTTCACATCCTTCAAAATTAGTGGTAACCATGTTGCAGCATTATCTTTGGCTATGAAACTACGCGGCATTCCAGCATATATTATTGTACCAAAAATGCTCCAAAATGCAAAGTTGAGAATGTCATATGTTACGATGGCCAGGTTATCTGGAGTGACGGTGATGCCATTATGCAATCAAGAGAGGATACTGCTAACAAGGTGTTGCAAGAAACCGGTGCAGTTCTTGTTCATCCATATAATGATGGGCGGGTCATAAGGTACCATGGGTTATATGTTTTCTTTTTTTGCACTTGAAGGAACTTTGACTTTTAAGCATTCTAGATAGTCTTTGGTTTTGTACTAAAAATTCTGTTCTACTTTGCCTTAATTGTATCACATTTGAGTTGTTCTTTCTAACCTTTATTTTTTATACTTTGTGGATAGATATTTAAAAAATAGAAACTTTGGAATATATATTGTGTTGAATTATGGGCCTGTGTCATTAGTCCTTAAAAAATGCCTCAGATTAACCTGACCAGAATTACTGAAAACAGTCTCCTACCTATGTCATGCCTTATGCCAATATACATGTGATTTGTTTTGAACCTTGAAACTTGTCTTGTTGTTAACCAAACAGCAACCTGTCTGACTCTGTGAAGTGTGAAATCAGCTTAATGGAATTAAAAGGAAAAAAGAGATTCCAAAATACTTTTGTTATATAGAGAGCCATAGCAGCAAATAACGATATTAATTCCAAAGAAAGAGGGAATTTTTGCATGGATGCATGGATTACTGTTTCACCAGGAAATTTTATCATGGTATGAGTTAAGCTAGTGTTCTAGCACTATAGTCTCAGGTGACTGGGAGAAAAAAGAAAACTTGTCATTGTGCTTTCAGTTTGCTGAGAAAAATGTCAGTTTAGTGTACAAAAAAGGGTTAAACTGGTTTAAATTTAAATTAGCTAAGTAGAAAGATCTTCTCCATCCCACACTTGGCCCACATCTCATGGTTTAGAGAAATACTTCCAAGAAGTATGTGTCATGTTAATCTAGTGAGATTTATGTCTATGGTTTTGTTGATTTATTTAATTTATCATTCTTACGTCCAAAGAAATTTTTCTCTGGGGGTAAGGTGTGCATGTGTGTTTGGGGGGTGGGGGGAGAGTTAATAACTGGGTAAGGTGATATAGGAAAGCAAATGGTGATACTTAAGGTAAAAATGTCAAATAAAGTAGTCCGGCCGGGTGAAATTAGCTTGTTTTCCTATATTGATTTTTATTTTTACTTTTTTATTTTATATTTAATTTGGCCTGGCAAGTAACTCAAAAATTAACCAAATGAACTAACAAAATTGGAACACCTAAAAGATCTCATTTGCTGCTGATTCTCTTTCATTCCTGTAGTTTTCTCACTAATGGAAAATAGAGAGGCATTTTCTAGGCTTGACTCTTGTGTCAGGAATGCACCGAACATGCTGATTTTACATTTAAGAAATTGCATTGCCATTGTCCTTCAAATCTACATGCCTTCTCAATTGAAACTCCAACATGTTTCACATTGAGAGGTATTTATGCATGTAGAAACTATAAAAAAATAAAAAGGAAAATCTTGTGGCATGAGTATGAATGGACTATGACATTGTTCAATTGTTTACACAGTGGGCAGGGTACCATATCATTGGAGCTTTTAGAGCAAGTCCCGCAAATAGACACTATAATAGTTCCTAAGTGGTTTGTTTAATGACTTCTAAGTATTAATTCATCTTTTCTATTCTTGTATCATCTTTATTACTAATTTGATGAGCTTTCCATTTTTTTCTGGTAAAAAAAATTTAGGCGAAGGTTTGATATCTGGGGTTGCATTGGCTGCCAAGTTTATCAACCCTGCTATTTGAGTATTGGCTGCTGAACTAATGGGAGAACCTACTTGCTTAGATTTTGTACCATGGAAAATGAGGTGGTGTTTTTGACAAATGCAGATTGAAACTCAATTACTAGGAAATTGATTTTTTTTGTTTTTGCAAATGGATTTACTTCTTATTTTGACACATTAATCAATCATGAATTCTTGTTTCAAGAGATTGTTTTGGTTATGGTTATTGACATTAACATATAGAATTGCAACTATGAATGTGTTAATATATTTTTGAATTTAATGAAAGTTGAAAATTGATGCCAATTGCAGGTTGTGTGAATGATTAGGTAGCATTTAAGGGTAACGTTTTATAATTTTTTTTTAAAAAAAATTATGTTATCTACGGGGAGCTTGAAACCCCCGTAAATATTATTTACGGGTAGTTAAAATTCGCTGTAGAAAACTTTTCTACGGCATGTGTTGGTGCCTTATGAGATTATTTATGGGTAGTTAAAATTCGTCGTAGAAAATTTTTCCATGGCATGCGTTGGTGCCTTGTGAGATTATTTACGGGTAGTTACAATTCGCCGTCGAAAACTTTTCTACGGCATGCTTCGGTACTTCGTAAGTTAATTATTAATGGGTAAATATCCATGTTGTAAATAAATTTAAGTATTTACGGAACCCTCATACACGAGGGCCTACAATGCGCCGTGAATAACTTTTCACGGCGCTTTTGACCCCTCGTAGAAGCCCGTTTTTCTTATAGTGTGCTGACTGATATCATTGAGTTAGACTACAATGCACATAGAAGGTGTATTGTTTAAGTGTGATTAGTTTGATGTTTTGTCTAAGTGTGGAGGAATAAAGGAGGATGATTTTCGATTTAAGCTTGTTAATTCCTCGTGATTGTGATCTCAAACTGAACGAGTATTTTATGTTGATGATCCCATTGAAAATGAGTGGAAAGTGGTTATTGGCGCAAAACTGTGAGACCTTTAAAATACGCCAGAGCAAGATATTGAATCTTATCAATTTGAGGAGTCATTTCATACACAACGTGTGGATAGCAACTTGGATGTACGTCGCTAATGATAACACCTTTTGGGCAAGAGCTAATTTGCTTGGAACAACTACAGATAGATATTTGTTAGAAAATGTTGAAAAAGAAGATGATGATGTTGATGAAGATGATATTTAGGATGATTCCATATCTACTGCTCAATGGGATAGTAGATTTTTTATCCTAATCTTTTTTTTTTTTTTGGGATTTGAAGCTTTTTTTTTTTTTTTTTTTTTTTTTTGAAGTTAATGTGGAATTTCATATGTTTCCTTTATGGCTTGGTTTTTTAAATTTTTTACTTGGACCAACTTCAGTACTTGTTTGGAAATGATTTAGTATATGCTCTAATCGAAATGGTATTTGGAAATGATTTAGTATATGAAATGCATTGCATTTTCCTTTCAAGCTACATTTTAGTATATATATATATATATATATATATATATATATATATATATAGTTATTGAACTTAATTTCTTTCCTGGAGTAATTTTTAGAACTATCCTTGCTCAACTAAAGCTTCTTAGTTTGTTTGATTCCATTCTTTGGTTGATCATTTGGGACCATCATCACCTTCAGATCTTTGTGTTGTTTGAAGTACTTAAATGAATTCTCACTTTTTTGTTTACTTCTACAAGAAGGATAAATAATAAGCTCACAATGAAACGAATGGTTCGTCAGGTTCAAGAAGTGTGAAGAACATCCGGAAGGTTCATCTTCAAAATCTCAAAGTTCACAAAAACAAAATACTGAGAATACTAAATCATCCCAACCAGCTATGAAGAAAAGACGGGACCCCACACGATGCAAGGATATCTTAGACATAACAACCCTAATACCATTAAGGTACATATGGAGATCTTATATAGTTTGCATAATTAGACAACATTCAATATGAAGGAGAAAAAATGATTTCTTCTATCTTTATTTTTGTACTAAACAACCATAATTGTTAATTTTAGTTTAGAGTCAATAAGTATGGACAGCTGACAGGAAATGGAAGTACCAAATATGGTAATTACTTGGGAGCAATTTCCCGCAATAGTTGATTAGCTCCTTTGTGCTACAAAACATGGTAGGAGATGCCTAATCGGCTTAAAGAAGATATGTGGACCATAGTAAAGGTAAAACCCTTCAATGACATGAAAATAATTTTCATGGAGAAAGTTGATTATCATGCAGCAATTATCACATTTTCAAGGGCAGTATGATGTGGGAATCATTTCAAAACAGTGGACATTATCCTCTATCGGAACAAAATGGAGGGGGTACAAGTGTGAACTAAAAAGTGCATACTACTTGATTCGGGATACAGATGCGAAAAGATTGGCTAACCCACCACCTGAAGTTATGAAGTACCATTGGGAATTTTTGGTTAAGCATTGGGGTACGGCTAAGGCGAATGTAATTCTCCATCTACCAATTTGTTTAAAGTGAATGAGTTGAATTTATAGTTTACCTGCTTTCAGTCATTACTTTATATGGAATGTGTTAATCCCTAGGAATTAAAATTAATCAAATAACGTTTGTTTTTTGTCACTTTTTGTAGGAGGACAGCGAAAAAAACAAGGAACGTTGTGGGAAGCAAACAATGCTTCATACTACAGGGACAAAAAGTTTTGCACATGTTCCTGCTAACGTTAGTCGAAGTTTTGGCAATATTAATTATTTCAATTCTTATGTGGTTGAATGATTATAAATGTTAGTGGTAAATAATATTTATCACAATGTGTATGTTTCTTTTATAAATTGAGGAAAAAGAAGGTATTAAGCTTTCTCGTGCATATTTATTCATTCGTACAAATGTAAACAAGGATTACAAGGCTACTCATGCTGCTGCTCAAGAGATGATTCTAAGTTTTCAAAATGCAAATAATGATAGTGAGCTTATCTGTTCTAAGTCAATATCTAAATTCACCAAATGTTCGAATACATATCATGACCCAACTAAATGAGGATATGTTATAAAGGTTGACCTCCCAACAGAATCTCAAAAGCAGTTAGTAGTGGTGTATAATTTCATGCCTTCAGCTGTGATGTTTTCTATTTGGTATGTGGTTCACTGTTATGCTCAACCACATTAAGCGGAAAACCCAACCGATGGTGGTTCAAGTGTGAATGGGTTCTGGACCACTTATCAGTACATAGGTTTTGCATACAGGATTTGGATAAAAATACAAATAATAAGAGTGATAAAATATGGAATAAGTGCACTTTCCCAACATGAGATTCCCTTTTTCCACACACGCGTGCAAATATATATATATATATATATATATATACATATGAAAACTGATGTAAATTCGGATCAGAATCCTCTCTATTGTACAACTTTCATACTGTATAACACTGTAATGAGAATCAAGTAAATAGTGAGAAAAAATAAAGTGTTCAAAAGTATATCCTACATTTGATAGAGATCCCTGTACCTGTTATATGAGCCCACCCCCTACTCAGCCTCCAAGCCTCCAAGACATACGGGTCTCTCCCACTACCAGTCAAAGTGTCAATCCTACGGCGCATGTCGTTCCCCTAACAAGTCAAACACTCAACTCAAGCTTGATATTGCCAAGGGATAAGCGTGGTAAGTCATCTAGTAGAGGATTTTCCTAACTTCAGCTGACCGTTGTACCCAAACTTCCCCCCTCACTCAAGTTCCTTACTTATTGCTTACTAAGTCAGAAAGGCCGTTCTTAGGCTACGCTACCCCGGACCCGCTTTCAATTAATCATCCCTTACATTAATAACCTTTGACATTTTTGTGAAGAACATAAATGGAGCCAACAGCTTTTCTGGACTTTGAACGCTACCTAAAACTATAAACAAAAGCTGATCGAAAGTGATTCCGAAAAGAAAAGGCCTTGCCAGTGATACATGCATCCACATGAATGTTGACCCAATTAATTTAGGGATAATGTTTTTTTTTTTTCCCAAAAATATTGGGATAATGTTTTGTTTCAATATATATGAATTCCTAAAAATTGCATTCGTAAGCTTTGACTAGGATTTCGTCCTAGATGTCTGCATCGGGCTAGTCCTCCTCCCTACTCTATTCTTGGACTAAATAAGTGAAGACATTAATTAGACAAAGTCAAAGCAAGATAAATGAAGTTGAGAAATCTTCAAGAGTGCTATCTGAATTTAATGGATGAGATCGAGATGGCAACATCACCATAACAATGGCCGCCTGAGTTGACTCCCAGATTGTAGCTTTAATTCCTCTCTTATTGATTAATTGTCTTTTTCTGAAACCAACTGGTCCCTCCACCACGTCCGTTGACACTAGTGAAGGAGTATCCATCCTGCATGGCCATCTTCATATTTTCAATAAAACATAGGGAAAACTTCAATTTTGTGCAATTTTGAGAGCTATATTGCCAAAATAGCAAGTTCTAAATACAAACTGTAGAAATCATCCAATTTGTGAAAATATTTACAAAACCATTAACTTTCACTGTTCATATCTAAGGACCAAACTGTAGTAATTAAGATGCTGTTGCAAACAAAGCCTGTATGTTACCTGTAGCAATACATCTTGGGGCTAAAAGGAAGTGAAACTACCTCTGATACCTCAGTGCAACCTAATAGTTTAATGGAGCAAAAGTTATGAACAAACTGGTTTACAATTGATTTCATCTTCCTAAACAACTTGAGAGTGAAAAATCAATTCATTGAAAAAAAAAAAAAACACATCAACTAAAAATAAATATTTTAAATACGAAGAGAGAACTGTGAACTTTATCCACTCTATTGCATATAAACTAATACACATGAGATGATAAAAGTTTAAATGAGGTAATGACACCTAAAATTAGTCAATAACACTTGGCCTCCTAGAACATCATAAATATCATGACAGCTTAGCTTGGTTTTCATGAGAAAGTTTTAGCAACTATGTCACATAATCACCTCAATACATAGAGATTGATCTTAAGCTAATTAACTTATTAGATTGATGATACGGGTATCAAAGAGTAAGGCGGGCTATGATGAGGGGGCGTTCATTGTGGGCCCTCATCCATAGCATTTCCTACTGCAAAATATAATAATATCATGGCTTTGATACTAATACTCAGAATAATGTAAGGAGTTGGTATTCACCAAATAATTTTTTAAAAAAAAAATTTAAATGAATCTAAATAGCAAAGGGGCAAAATCGATGCAATGACAACTGTAACAAAATTAAACATGTTATAGATTTATATTCTACCAAAAAAAAAAGAAGACAATAAACAAAAGTTAACAATTGTGGGTGTTTAGTACAAAAATAAGATTAATAATATTTATATATATTAATCTTTTGTTATTGCATTATTTATCTTGATGCTTTTATGGTTTTGAACGTTTTTGGATTTGTATTTGGTTGTGTGGATTGGTTCTTGGCTTAAATGGAAAAGGACTGTATTTGGTTGTGGAGAGAGTTTTTGTTGTGTGGAAGGTTGCGAGGTTGTGTTTGGTGCGATTGTGTACTACTTTGTTAATGTCAATGGTTGTGTGTGGTGTGGTTATGTACATTACTTTGATATGATGGTGTGGTTGGGTTGTTGACATGCTGTGGAAAAGAATGAACAACCAAAAGTATATTTCATGACAAGCAATGTAACTGAAGGCACACAATTTTCATTGAGAATGATGGAAAATTCTTGCTGAGTCTTGCTTTGTTGCAAAAAGTGGCAATTGGGGCACTTGATGTCCGTCTCATGACTCCGGATGAATTATCAAACGTTTTTTTTTTTCAAAGAATAGGCATTACTACCTTATAAATTCTTCTAGGATCATTTTGAAAGGACCAAGGGTGAAAAGAAAGTGGGGTCTCCGTGAGCAAAGTTTTTCTCATTCCGTCGGGAGGTGGGATCTCCGATATTCTGTTGTGGGTCGATTCAGTGGCAAGTTCTTCTTGGGTGTGGGGTATGAGTGGTAGGATGGTGTTGTTTGGCCCTTTTGATCCAAGTTGATTTGGTGATCGTTTGGTGTGTGGGTTTTGTTTGTCTTTTTCAATTTTGTTGGTGGTCGTTGGTGAGGTGATGTGAGTTGTACGCAGCGGAATATTTAGAAAGTTTTCATTATTTTTGAACAGAAATCTTGTGTTTTTCTAACTTACTTTATTTTAGTAATTAAATAATTAATCACATGTAGATAAAATAAAGTAAAGTAAAAGTTAGAGATGACACCAGGATTTTTAACGAGTAAACCCCAATTGATAAAATACGTTAACTGTTTGTGTGAGAAAAACCTTGTGGACTGTGTAGTCTAAAGTAAACCGATCCACTATGCTTGAAACAAAGTATACTAAACTTTGACTCTGACTCACACCCTATTGTTCTACCAAACACCAATTATTGATAATCTTCTAGCTCTGTGACTTCTCGTTCAACAGCAACTTGACCTCAGGCTTATACATGATCTTTGTAGAAGAGTAACAGGTAGATCAGACAAGACTCCTCAAATGTTCCAGCCTTTTCAAAGTGTGGTCACTTTTACTTCTGTTCTTCAATCGTCCGAATTCAATATAGAAATAAATCTGCTTTTGTTGGAGGGCAGCTGATACAAATGACCATCTTTTCTGTCTTTGTTCCTATGCTAAAGCAAGTTGGCAGGATATATTTAATTTATTGAGAATGGATTTGCCAGTGTTCAATTATGTTTGGGAAATTGTGGATTGGTTTGTTATGCAAGTTGTAGGCAGAAGTGTCAAGACTCAAATTTTAACCGGAATTTTTGCAACCACTATTTGGAAGATCTGGAATGTGAGAAATATGATCATGCATGATGGAGCTCAAGATCAAGCAACATATGCTGCCAAGACTATTCTGTGGGAAGTTTTAAATTTCCTTAATTTTAGTCCTCAAGATTTTGCTCTTGTTTTTTAAATTTTAATGTTTTTGCAATTTCTTGTTTTTCCCAGTATTTACTGGAACTGGGCTTTTTCTAGCTCTTGATTTGTAAAAGGAGGTATGCCTCCTTAAGCACTTATACTACTTTCTTCTTTGTTTATAACACAACCCCATTCAGGAAAAAAAATAAAAAAAAATAAAAAAATAAAATATGCTTTTGTTTAATTGATGTAGATGTAACTATATGATCACGATCAAGATTCGAACAAGACAATTCTCAAATCACTATGTGAATATGTGTGTGTTCTAGAAAGACAAACAGAAAAATCTCTAAGATTTTCTGAAACAAAAATCTTCATAAGGCTTGTAAAAATAATAAACTGATAATGCAAAAACTATCAATAAACCTATGTGTATGATAAGATTTATATAGAGTTTAGAATGACCTAATCCCTCTGAAAATATGGAAAATTTCGTGCATAAGATTTGGTTCAATTCTAGAACAACTTAGAAACAAATCAGGAAAGGAAACTGAAACTGTACTGTGAACAAGACTCCTTAAACCGGTTCAGAGGGGCTAAATCGGTTCAAGTATGGCAGAAGTTTATTTCGAGGCCAACTGAAGACCTTGAACCGGTTCAGAGGGGCTAAACCAATTCTTGTTTGCCAAACTTGAATTTCCTAGTTCATTAAGGCTGAAAACACTATATGGTAAGATTTTGAAATAAATACCAAGTTTAGAATGTGTCCTAACCTTTTAAAATTCCTTTCTATTGTGTTGTTCTTACCTTTCTCGAATGATCTTGGTTATGGTAACTTAGAACAATCTTTCAATTCCGTAGTCGCTGTCAATCCTGATATAGTAACTTCGAATTACAACTCGATAGAGACTTGTTTTGTTTCCGAAAATTGTCAATTACAAAATAATATCTCACAATCTCCTTCTTTGGCAATTTCGTGACAAAACCTTAAAAACAATTTGAATAATCTACCTAAAGCAGAAAAGTAAATTACAATTTTGTTTAAAGTCAAA